CGCCAGATTAGCGCGAATTTAATCAAAAAACGAATTTTGGAATTTTGACTTTTTATAACCATCAGTCGATAGGAAATTGTCCAAAGTATGTAAATATCACAATACTTTGGTTCAATGTCTTCCTTTCGGTGTCCAAAAAGCTAGCTAAAGTGGACATACGCAATGCCGGTCCCGGCTGTGCTGAAATCGTCGAAAACCCGCGTCATGTTTACAACACATTTTGGCGTAATTGTCGGAAAGGTTTGGAAATAATTGGAGTGGCATATGACTACTGAGCCTATATTTGATAGTATACCCGAATTCTATAGGTATCCTTGGACTAACCGATGAGTTATGCTCATTTGAAAATGACCTTTTCAAACATCCCCTGAAAACACTGTCCATCTTAAAAACGTAGAGATATAAGAAAATGGCCAAAAAACTCCACGTCAAATCTACCATGAGAAGATTCGCCACACTTTTCTGGACATGACCCATTCAAGAAACCCTGCCCCAACTTGCCCCCCGGCCTTTGGCTCAGCAATGAACGTATCGGGTTGGCCCGCCCGGGGAGGTCCGGCTACAGGGTGGGCGGGGCGGCGGCTCCGTATACGTTACGCGGATGGCTCAAACGCTGTATTTCTGACTTGTTATATTGCAAAATACGGTCGCCAATGAATAAATCTTGACAATTTTTCAACCCTCGCCCATATAGGGGGTGATGGTGGGGGTCGAAAGGACCCCTCTCGGTTTCTCGCAAAAAGCTCATGTAAAAAGCGGCCGATCGCGACGAAACTTTTGGTACCCTCGAGTTTATCAATTTTACACCTACCCATTAAATTTCACGACCCTGACCCCAATGACCTTTGACCTGTGACCTATTTCTCGAGACCATGTTTGGCCCGAAGCGCGATTGGGCGTATGTTTGCTTGCATTAGCCGCGCGTTTGCAGTCTTTTCGTGGTTTCAAGCGTCTAAACATGTGATATTATGATGTTGGTCCCATGCATTATGGTCGGTGTCAAGATCACTTGAAGGTCAGGTCAGTTCAATGACCTTTGATGACTTTGGTTCACCTTTTTTAGTTTTACATGCTTCCAGGCTAGTTTTTGGAGCTGATTTCGAATTTAGTAACCATTTGAACATTTAGGAAGAAGTTTTGGTGCCTTCGTAACGTGCAACGAAGCTGTCACTGGCGGTTGACACCTATTAATTATGAATACCCGGCAGGACTGGTTGGCCTGACCTGACCCGACCTACGTTCGCGGCTAGCAAAACACCAATACGGGCGAGGGTTAGTGACATGAAGGTGCTTATGGTGTAAGTCTTTGTTTTTACTCCCATTGCTGAGGTTCAGTTTTATCGGTGCGTGTATTTCAGCAACCATCTACCGATTCATGTGCTTCACCAGGAACATTCACACAGAAACATAATTAGATGTTGATTTTTTTTCAAGCAAACTTTGGACAATCATAAGAATTTACCAGAGAAATGATGGGAATTTCGTAAACGATTCCTCCTCCTAACATGCCCATCATTGCTGGGACCCACAATTTTATGCCTCTTATTTGCGGTTAAATTCCAGGATTTCGTAATCAGAGTCGGAGTCGTTCGGAATCAACAGTTCTGACCCTGCAGTCAGAGTCGGAATCGGAATCGATTTTGGAATCCGGACCAAGACTCGTAGCCCGAGTCACCGAAAATCCATCGACTGCGTGGACTTGCCATGGCTGCGGAGTCAGAGTCCGAGTCGATCGTATAAGTCGACAGTTTTGCCCGGAGTCAGAGTTGAAATTGACTTTTGAAAGCCGTAGTCGGAGTCGGAGTAACTCCATCGACTTCACAGCCCTGGCCTGGTAAGCACATCACCCGTCGTAAGCTAGTTCTCCTTACTTTTAGAGGCGGAACTATGCCATTATTTGTCAGCAAGCATTTATAATGCATCGTAAAAGGTCTCACATAGGTTTAAGTGTCAATTTTGAAACCAGGGAACCATTTTCAACGGATCCGAGCAGCGCTGGGATTTAATTCGCGCCAAACTGGTGTTTGGCCACACTGTGCACCGGTCCAGCCCCGACCGACCACTGGGACGGCACCGGTGGATGATCAGGGGGCGGGCGGGACATTTGAGACCATTGAGTTATGGAAGACCATCGTTATTCGTTCGTGACTGCTGATTACATAGTTCAGAGCGTATGTTTTGTATGTTTCTCGATAAACAGGGGTGTGTGTTGTATGTGAGTGAGTGGTCAGTACGGGGAGGCCGGCTGGCCGGCGGCCGATGGCACGCCGCCGCCGGCCCGGCCTGACCAGTGTAGCGTACTGGGAGCAGCGAGGTCTGAGGCTGTCACCTCGGCGCCGCGGGCAGCGTCGGCCGGCCGCCGCCTGCCCTGTCCTCTCCGGTGTGGAGAGAGACGAACATCGGACATAGGAGCGTCCCCGGCGGCCGTTTGTCCCAGTTGTGGGGCCATGCCGGCGCGTCGGACGGCACAGAGGGGAGTCGGGTCGTAGCCATGTGACTGCACGGTGGTGTGTAAGGTCGATCGACGAATATAAGGTGCATTGGAGAAGACACCCAGCTGACCACGTGACCTCGAGCGACCCTGCACAGCGGACTGGGGAGAGGAGAAGGACAGGGTTGGGGGCTCAGCGGCCGCCGCAGAAACGGCCTCACATACTCGTATAGGGTAGGGACAGTCGGCAGAGACAGTCCCACCGGTCCCACTCATGGGGTAGGGACAGTCGGCAGAGACAGTCCCACCGGTCCCACTCATGGGGTAGGGACAGTCGGCAGGGACAGTCCCACCGGTGCCGCCCTCAGAGGCCGGTGGGCGACTCCCACCACGAGTCCCCGGTGGGTGATGGGACCGGTGGGCGACTCCCACCACGAGTCCCCGGTGGGTGATGGGACCGGTGGGCGACTCCCACCACCAGTCCCCGGTGGGTGATGGGACCGGTGGGCGACTCCCACCACGAGTCCCCGGTGGGTGATGGGACCGGTGGGCGACTCCCATTACGAGTCCCCGGTGGGTGATGGGACCGGTGGGCGACACCCACCACCAGTCCCCGGTGGGTGATGGGACCGATGGGCGACTCCCACCACGAGTCCCCGGTGGGTGATGGGACCGGTGGGCGACTCCCACCACCAGTCCCCGGTGGGTGATGGGACCGTCGGTGACCCGCCGGGCCGAAGGTTGTTCCCGCTGCCCTCTGCTACCGCCGGCCGACAGCCAGCCGGCAGCTCTTGTGGCGGCCGTCGGCGCCGCTCAGTGACCCACGGGGCCGGCGCTGAGGTGCCGCGGCGCGCCGCCCCCCGAGCTACCCAGTGGCGGTCCGTGGACACGCGTCTGGTGACGCACCGCCCCGCCGCGCCCCACCTGGGCCGTGACCTGGCCGGCGGCGGCGGTGGCGGCGGCGGCGGCGCGCCGGACGGTCACCAGTAGAGCTCCGACAGAGTCTCGGACCGACCGGACCGTGCAGCGAGCAGCGAGCCGGGCAGCCGCGCCGAGGGGCGGGCCGGGCGGCCGAGCCGGTCCGCACCTCTGACCAGTCGGAGGGGCGGGCGGTACGTCCGGTCCGCACCTCTGACCAGTCGGAGGGGCGGGCGGTACGTCCGGTCCGCAGCTCTGCCCAGTCGGAGGGGCGGGCGGTACGTCCGGTCCGCACCTCTGACCAGTCGGAGGGGCGGGCGGTACGTCCGGTCCGCACCTCTGCCTAGTCGGAGGGCGGGCGGTACGTCCGGTCCGCACCTCTGCCCAGTCGGAGGGGCGGGCGGTACGTCCGGTCCGCACCTCTGACCAGTCGGAGGGGCGGGCGGTACGTCCGGTCCGCACCTCTGACCAGTCGGAGGGGCGGGCGGTACGTCCGGTCCGCACCTCTGACCAGTCGGAGGGGCGGGCGGTACGTCCGGTCCGCACCTCTGCCCAGTCGGAGGGGCGGGCGGTACGTCCGGTCCGCACCTCTGTCCAGTCGGAGGGGCGGGCGGTACGTCCGGTCCGCACCTCTGCCCAGTCGGAGGGGCGGGCGGTACGTCCGGTCCGCACCTCTGACCAGTCGGAGGGGCGGGCGGTACGTCCGGTCCGCACCTCTGACCAGTCGGAGGGCGGGCGGTACGTCCGGTCCGCACCTCTGTCCAGTCGGAGGGGCGGGCGGTACGTCCGGTCCGCACCTCTGTCCAGTGGCCACTGCAGTGTCCGTGTATGGCCCCAGAACACGCCACGGGTGTCTCCCGAGCCGTGTGTGTCTCCGAGTCGGTAGTGTGTCCAGCCGGTGTTGGACAAGTGCCGCTGGCCGGCCGTGGCGGCTGGAATGGAGGGCCGGGCACGGGCCGGCCGGCTCATCCGCCGGCGGTGGGAGGCCCGGTGTCAGCTGTGGGTCACACACCAGCACCGAACACTGCAGTTGTGAGGGGGACGGGTGCAGGCCATACAACACACACAGAACTGCAACAGGGAACTACTTACATGACACCAGTCAGAGTGGCCAAAACACATATGCAATGTGCAGGAATCTCAGAAAAAGTTATTTGTGTGATCTGATCCCACGTAGTTATCCTGATCTTTGATCCGATGGGATCCTAGATCCAGCCAAATGGCTCAAGACGGCAGCTGATTTACCAGAGGCGGCTCTCAGACCTGATCCCAAATGACGGCGGGTAAAACAGTGTGTCGTATACAGGTTATCGTCCGCCCGGCACCGGGGAAGGCGGTGAAATACGGCGAGTGGCGATCCAGCCAGTCAGTGTGTGGCCGCCGGTTAACGGTGAACTCCCACGCTGGGCCCGTATTATCGATATATACGACACCTGTTGATGGTGTGCACGGAACAGAAGGACCAGGCCTCGACGGCCGACGGTGTGCTCTGGAGCCGGGACCGCAGCTCGGCAGGTCACAGCAGCGGCGGCACAGCGGCGCAGAAACACCCCCCCCCCCTCTGGTGGAGCCAAACTGTACTCAGGTCATCAGGACATTAGCACAAATGATGAGGTAAGCTCTGAAGGTAACTGTTTTCCAGGACAAAGACTGGACATGTGTAAAATGTATTAGTCAAAGCGCAGCCGATTATCAGTAGCATGGCCAAGTGATAACTAAAACCTAAAAAGCCGTTCCGGAGTCGGAGTCAAGGCAGCTTGATCGACACGGACTCCGACTCCGACTCCCAATCGGTCGGTAGCCCAATTACCCCCCTGTACGAAGCAGAGGACACAAACATGGCGGCGCACACCCGGGCCGTGACGGCGTGCTTCCGTGAACCGAGTCGGACCGACGCGAGGACACTCGTTATGACCGGTGCCGTAAGAGCTCTACACAATTCAGTAGCATCCAGCTGACTATATCCGACCGTTGGATAGCCGGCTATATCATACCCAGGGTTACATTATCCACAATACCCGACCGGTAATTACACACTACATCGCATCACCGCATCAAATTACCCACAATACTCGCCCGGTAACTAATTGCCCTAGGCTACCGATGGTACAGCTGAAGCGTCTCCTCTCATAATAGACATCTGACTGACCAATCTGACTGACAAGTCAGCTGACTGACCAATCAGCTGACGGACCACTCAGCTGACTGACCAATGGTCAGCTGACTGACCAATGGTCAGCTGACTGACCAATGGTCAGCTGACGGAACAATGGTCAGCTGACTGACCAATGGTCAGCTGACGGACCGGTCCCCGCCCCGGGCCGGGTGACGGCCGCCGGCCGGGACCGGAGCGGGCGGGCGCGGCGCGGCCGGCCGCCGTCTGAACTGACACCGCGTGGATACTGCCAGCTCGGACGGCAGCTAGCCAGTAGTCGAGTAGAGCTGTCCGTGTGGGACGTGTCACAACACGCTCAGCACGGCGCTCAGCACCGCCGAGCCGAGGTGCAGCCAGACCCGGGGGACGGTCACGTGACCGAGCCGTCCGACTGCACCGGGGGACGGTCACGTGACCGAGCCGTCCGACTCCACCGGGGGACGGTCACGTGACCGAGGCCGGCCGTGCCGCCGGGACCAGGCGCGGTGAACCGAGTCGGACCGTCAGAGACGTGTGTGTGTTCTACATAAAGAATAGCGTAATGTCACGATCGGTATAGTCTCTCCAGCACATCACTTTTCACTGTCCAATTACCCACAATACCCACCCGGTAATTACCCACTACATCACTTTTCACTGTCGAATTACCCACAATACCCGCCCGGTATCATTGCCCACTACATCACACTCGTGTGCTACTACTACATCTACACTACTACTACTACAACTAGATCACACTACACTACAGCGGACACCGGGGCCGTGTGCCGGCTGACCGGCGCCGCTCTCAGTGCCGGCTGGTGCAGCACACACGGCAGCAGTCAGCTGGCGGCCCCGGCCGACTGGCTCGGCCTCTCTGCAGTCAGCTCATCACTGCACGGTCGGTAGTGCAGCGCATCATTTCCCCCACATCAACACTGTGACCCCATCGCCTTCCTGGCTCTTCAGCTGATCGTACAGCTCCTCTGTGGACAGAGCAGAGACACGTCTGAGGTGGACACACACGTCACACAGACACACACACAGACAGCGGTACAGCCATGTCCACACACCGCCGGCCAGTGACGTCACACACAGGACAGACGGCTGACGTGACGTCACCGTCGGCCGTGGTGGCCCTGACGCGTCACGTCACCGTCCGTGACGTGGCCTGCGGCGGTGGTCGAGTGTGTGTGTCTGAGAGGCCGGTGGCGCCGTGCAGCGTCTGTTGTGAGGGACTGACTGGTCAGAGGCGCGGCGCGCGGCGCCCTCTCACCTACCGGGGACATGGAGATAGATGGTACGGGTCCGGCCATTACTGTACTGCAGGTCCGTCTCCTTCAGGGCGGTCAGCACGGCCCGGCCGGTGTCTGCCGTGCAGTGAAGGTACAGAAAATTCAGCTTCCGACACGACTTCACCAGTCTGTAACAGAGCAGAGCAGCAGAGCCGTCACACACAAACACAGCGGCACCAGCCGGCCGGACGTACGAGTTAGTGTCAGTGTGTCAGTAGTTCAGTGTCGGTGTGTTGGTGTCAGTGGCAATGCGTCGGTGTCAATGTGTCAGTGTCAGTGTGTCAGTGTCAATGCGTCGGTGTCAATGTGTCGGTGTCAGTGTGTCAATGTCAGTGTGCAAGCATCAGTGTATCAGCATCAGTGTGTCAGTGTCAGTATGTCAATGTGCCTGTGTCAGAGTGTCAGTCATTGTGTCAGAACCCGTGTCAGTCAGTGAATCAGTGTCAGTGAGTTGGAGTTGTATGTTTGTGTCAGTGTCAGTGTGTCAGTGTCAGTATCAGTGTAAGTGTGTCAGTGTCAGTGTGTCAGTGTCAGTGTGTCAGTGTCAGTGTGTCAGTGTGTCAGTGTCAGTGTGTCAGTGTGTATGTGTCAGTGTCACTGTGTCAGTGTCAGTGTCTGACAGGACACCCCTCGCCAGTGTCTGCTGACTGACCTGGTGACCGCTGCTGCTGTGAAGGCCGTCTCTGCCGGCCGCTGGCGGTCCCCCAGTTTAAGGCTGAACAGCCCGGGGCAGCCGCTGAGAATATCCAGCACGGCGTCAGGGACGCCGCCGGACAGGGTGAGATGCCGCAGCCCACGGCACCTGGTGAGGGGCTCCAGACTCACGGCGTCAGGGACGCCGCCGGACAGGGTGAGATCCCGCAGCTCAGGGCACCTGGTGAGGGGCTCCAGGCTCACGGCGTCAGGGACGCCGCCGGACAGGGTGAGACGCTCCAGCCCAGGGCACCTGGTGAGGGGCTCCAGGCTGCCGGTCGTGAGATCAGGACAGTCTGGAAAACACACATACAAACAGGATCAGTCGGCAGGAATATATGTAAATATACGGAAAAAACGAAACAGCTATGAATTCGCATGGTTTTATGGACACAGACGATAATATAACAATGGTAATATATGATATGCAGTCAGTTCAACCAATGCATTGAACTGCATTGAACATTGCATTACAATCATTATGTGTACGTTCAACTAAGTCTCAACGAATATGTCACCGATTCCCTTCCCTCACTGATTCACACCATGTTGGAGCTCAATTAGCTTCATTATTTCACAAATCACATTGGCTATGCATCCAGAGGCGGATCCAGCTCAGAGTTGGGGGGGGGGGGGCAATCCATAACAATTTATCGATTCTTTCCATGCATCGTCCATAGGCGTAATGTTAAAATTATGCCGTTTGGGGGGGGCAAATGCCCATTTTGCCCCCCCCCCCTGGATCCGCCACTGTATGCATCACACCTGTCTCAATGAGGTGCGACAACGGCACACCGTTACTCGGTGTCCGCCATTCCCTGAGCTCGTATATCACAGCGGCCTGTCCGTGCTGCCGCTGCTCACCGTATATCTCCAGTAGTCTGACCGTCCGTCCCAGGTCAGCCAGGTGACTGATGGTGTCGGCAGTCACCCCCTGGAGCGACACTGACAGACCACGAGCCAACGGGTTCCATAGCGGCCACCTCGGCTCCGTCACCTCAGGCCCTGTCGGACAGAGCTGTGTCAGCTGACTGCAGTCGGACAGAGCTGCCGCCAACTCCCCGCTGCACCACTGACACCAGAGTGTCAGACACTGACACAGCTAGCACTGACACAGCCGAGCGGCCGCACAGCAATTGTTAGCAGCAGCAGTCATACCTATGTAGAATGTGAATATGAACATCATAAATATATGCGATTAGTATAGCGTAATACAGTAGTCTATGCAACTACTTATACTACTCTCATTCAGTAGCGGCGGAACACCTTCAATTAAAGGGGGGCACTGCCGACTTTTGGTCACATTCTTTCCATGCAACGCCCATAGGGCTAATGTTAAAATGCCAAAATCAAAGGGGGGCACGGTGCCCCGGTGCCCTCCCCGTTCCGCCGCCTATGCTCTCATTGGTTGCACTATGTCTGTATAATCATCCCTCAAATCCTTGTCAAAATCAAATCCTTGTCCAAATCAAATCCCTTGTAAATACTTGCACACTTATTGAAACAATGCCTGCATTCCCGTGCTGGCCGCCTTCGATCGTGGCGCCACCTATACTCTGTATAACCGCCGCTCCAGGGCCGCGGCCAGTCAGTCTCGCCAGTCTGCTCAGACTCGTCGTCAGCGAGCTATCTATGTAGTCAGTCACTAGTCAGAAGTCAGTGTCAGCCGTCGACCCAGACTAATTACTTTTGTTCGGAAATTTGCTGCTTGTGACATTGCAACTATTACTAGTACCTTGACTTTTAAAAATCACCCCGCGACATTAGGATTTAGGTACACTAATATTCCATGCATGCGCCACAAGCATGTGCACCGGCACCCTATGCAAGTGTATGCATTGACCCCCCCCCCCCCCCACCACAACCACAATAATGTACACGGTCAATGGTGGAAATTGCTAGTTGAGGCTGATCGGCTCATCCATTTGCCATCAACGCTGTCCATTTGCATATAGCGGCATTATATGTGTCAGTGTGATCCGCATGGTATCTCACCTCTGACATTGAGGCGCTCGAGGCACTCCGGCAGCTGCCCCCTCAGTCGCGGGAGGTCGGCGGCGGTGACTGATAGGGCTTTAAGCCCAGGGCACCTTGTGAGGGGCTCCAGGCTGCTGGCCGTGAGATCAGGACAGTCTGGAAAACACACAGACACACATACAGACAGGATCAGTTAGCTGTAATACATGCCGATCAGGGCCTCGGCTAAGGAATTTTGACTGGTGGGCCACTTGGGCAGCGACATGGACTGATCTTCGTAGCCATAGCCCCCCCCCCCTTTTCGATTTCTCCCCAGATTTCGGCCACTTTATTCTGCAAAAAACGTCAGGATGGCGTGGAAAAAATGTAAAAAAAACGGGGCTCGACCCCCCCCCCCCCCCGACTCTTCACAGAGAGGAGAGAGAAGGGACCCACAACCCTCTCAGTGGTGATACTCCGGCGGTGCACATAAAATTGCACAAGTATGCACAAAATATTGACGCAGATTATAAAACTTTGGACGGTAACTTACGGCCGGTCGGATGTTAAAAATCAGCGAGCCCTGAATGGATCGCTCGCCGACTAGTCGGAGATTTGGAAGCGGTCGGAAGGGATCGGGCGTTGTCGGGTGGATCGGGAGGAATTGTGAACAGCACGAGTGCAACTTTATATATAAAGTGGGTTGTAGCAGCAACCCCAACATCTCTGAAAATGATCATTAAGCCTATTGGTGTCGCATGGAAAAGAATTGACTCAAAAGCCCAAGCGCACTGCGCAACCCTAATATTTTTTATAAAAAACTAAGTTATGTACACTTCTGGTGAACCGTGTCCCAAACTTCAGATTTCTCTTGGGTGTCTGACTGGAAAATTCTAGCTACCCAAAATGTGAGAGTGGAAAATTATCCATTCTTATTCCTGAGTGTCATCTTCAGCCCAAATGATAAATTTTTGGAACGCTGACTGTGAACGGTTCGAAATTCGTCCGACTGGTCAGATGTGTGACCGGTATGTGTGATATCATACCGGTCGTGAAAACGCATAATATCGCTTGCAGACTTCAATCGGCTGGAAGTCGCCGACAATACCACTAGTTTAACTCTGGCTTAAGCCCTTGTTACACTGCCGAATTTTGGTACACGAATGTGCACGAATATGCAAGTCATCCTATGTCGCGGACCGATTCGGGATCTTTCTTCCACGGTCTTGGCATTTCGCAGACCAGTCGTTGTCCACCGCGCGACTTTTACGGTTCGTCACGACCGCCACGAATATATCATGAAAAATAAAAATTTCGTGGCCGTTCGCCGAACTTAAGCCCTTGTTACACTGCCGAATTTTGGTACACGAATGTGCACGAATATGCAAGTCATGCTATGTCGCGGACCGATTCGGGATCTTTCTTCCACGGTCTTAAGCCCTTGTTACACTGCCGAATTTTGGTACACGAATGTGCACGAATATGCAAGTCATCCTATGTCGCGGACCGATTCGGTATCTTTCTTCCACGGTCTTGGCATTTCGCAGACCAGTCGGTGTCCACCGCGCGACTTTTACGGTTCGTCACGACCGCCATGAATATTTCATGAAAAATGAAAATTTCGTGGCCGTTCGCCGAACTTATAATAAACGAACATGGTCGCCAAACAGTCGCCGAGTCGCCGCCGACATGTCGCTGCGTGCGCCGACTTGTTGCCAAGGCATCGGCGACTATTCGCAACAGATTCGCCATTCATTCGAGATGTTCGCCAAATCATGGATCAGCTTCGACCCGCACACGATTAGGGGGCCCCCCATCTGTTTTCTGCAAATCGGGCTCTGTCGGCGAACTGTTCGCCTCTGTCGGTGAACTGTTCGCCGATTTCCTACACGACGTGATTCGGCGACAGGGTCGTGGCCAAAATTCGGCAGTGTAACACGGCCTTTATATCGTGTCTATCGGCGAGCCGTCTGAGATCGCTCGCAGGCTTATCCCCGACCGTCTGAACTGGTCTGTTCTTTATTCGTAGTTTTTCTTGTAACCGACTGGTCTGCGGCAGATGCTTATGTGACTGCAACCACTCGATCGATCGGAAAGCTTGCAAGAACTCTGGCAGACCTCGATCGGCTGAAAGCCGCCGACACTATCTGTAATTGACAGAGGCATACGTCTTTCACGATTATTGCATAAAATTTAAAGCCTCGGTCACACTTCACCGGATTGGACCAACGGACGAGAAACGGACGAGAACTGTCAGCGTCCGGTGATGTCCGTTTGTTTCCGTTGGACGTCCGTTTGTCATCCGTTAATATTCGTTCCATGTCCGGTGGTGTCCGGTTGAGCACACCGGACACCACCGGACATGGAACGAATATTAACGGATGACAAACGGACGTCCAACGGAAACGAACGGACATCCCCGGACATCACCGGACGCCGTCCGTTTCTCGTCCATTGGTCCAATCCGGTGAAGTGTGACCGAGGCTTAACCTATACGGCTGTCTCAAGAAACCGGGAATGGTGATGGTATTAGGCGGACAACGACGATCAAGTTCTTACTTTTAATAAATGCAACAATGTAGTAGGGCCTCTGTCTCTGTCTGTATCACAATGCTACCTACGTCGTGATGTAAAATGTGAAAACTTAGATTTTTCGGAAAATTACTGGTGGGCCAAATCTTTGAGGCTGGTGGGCCATTTCGCGTCACTGGTGGGCCATTTGGCCCACCAGTTAACATGTTAGCCGAGGCCCTGATGCCGATATATGACAAAACGAAAAACACCTAATAACTCACATGGTTTTATGGACACAGTAGACAATGGTAAAACAGTGCAATTATATTAGAGTTGCAAAGTTTCCCTACCGCATTACCGGCATGCCGGTAATTTTTCACTACCGCAGGTTTTTTGTGGTATCTGGCATGTCTTGCCGGTAGCATGCCGGTATTTTTGGTTTTGCACAAAAAAAAAATTATTAGCATAAGTGATTCAAACTTTGGACACTAAGAGGAAAATGTGGCATCTCTTGTAGGGGTAAACTGGAATCAACAATGCAGGTTTTTTAGTATGCCGGTAATTTGGTGGTGTTTTTGCTTTGGGCGTGGTAGCATGCCGGTATCCCCCAAAAAATTTGTGGGGCGGGGCGGTGCCGGTAGCAGCCTTTGGGGGAAACTTTGCAACTCTAAATTATATGATAATATGCAATCAGTTAAGCAAATGCATTGAACTTCATTGAACAGTGCAACACAAATGTTATGAGTATGATCAACTAACACTGAACGAATATGTCACTGAGTGAACAGTCCTCCTCCATTTTGAAGCTCAATTGGCTTCATTATTTCGCAAAGCACATTGGCTATGTATCACACCTGTCTCCACGAGGTCCGACAACGGCACACCGTTACTCGGTGTCCGCCATTCACTGAGCTGGTATATCAGTGGCCTGTCCGTGCTGCCGCTGCTCACCGTATATCTCCAGTAGTGTGACCGTCCGTCCCATGTCAGCCAGGTGACTGATGGTGTCGGCAGTCACCCCCTGGAGCGACACTGACAGACGACCCAACGGGTCCCGTCCCGGCCACCTCGGCTCCGTCACCTCCGGCCCTGTCGGACGCGTAATTCTTTTTTCCACCCAAAGGAAGGCGCTATACGGAGAATATCCCATTGCGTCATTGAAAAGTGACTTACACCTCTCACCGGCCAGCTGGCTGCGTGGTGTAGTGGTGAGCATGCTCGCCTCGTGATCTAATAACTAGGGTTCGATCCCCGCCGCCGGCCGAACTTTTTGGCGCGTTGTAGGTTAGGTTGTAGGTTTGTAGGTTGTAGGTTCGTAGGTTGTAGGTCTGTAGGTTAGGTTGTAGGTTAGGTTGTAGGTTGTAGCAAGGCCCTATATACCAGGTAGGGTCGTCCGGCGATTCTACCTGATCGTGACGTCAGCTTGTGACGTCATCTGGGGGCAAGTCTTGAAGCCCCGTTCGAGTCCCATGTAAATGGGCGATTTTTGAAGCGCTGTAGAACAAACTCTGTTGGAGCTAGCACAAAACTAATTGCATCATCGGAAAGACGAGACATTTTTCTTTGAATTATCTAAGAGCAGTTTTTCACTAAACCCATTAGTTTTTCCGAAAATGCGTAGAAAAGTCCCCATGCCTCCGCAGCCTCCCTTCCACCGGCCGCTGCGCCGCCGCGGTAGTGTAGTGGTTAGGATGCTTGCACCGTGAGCCGAAGATCGTGCGCTCGAATCTAGGCGCGGGTCGGACTCAAATCGAAATTGCAAGCAGAATATGTGTTTTTTCTTTAAAAATCACTTATATTACAGCTAAACGTTCATAAAACTATCGATAACAATTGACTGAAAACCAAAATATAGATAACATTCTTATAAAACAAATTCAAATATGGCGGCCGTTGCGCTAGGCTCCGCCCCCGACTCCGCCCCTTCGTGTGACGTCATCTGTGCACTTGGACACACAGGGAGATAGGGGACGACATGGGCCTGGGTTGTAGGTTTGTAGGTTGTAGGTTAGGTCAGGTGAGGTTAGGTTATGTTTGTTTTTGTTTGGTTTGTTTACCAAGAAGCATCTTCGTGTGTAGCGCCTTCCTTTGGTTGGAAAAAAGAAACACGCCTGTCGGACAGAGCTGTGTCAGCTGATTGCAGTCGGTCAGAGCTGCCGCCAGCTCCCCGCTGCACCACTGACACCAGAGTGTCAGACACTGACACAGCCAGCACTGACACAGCCAGCACTGACACAGCCGAGCGGCCGCACAGCAATTGTTAGCAGCAGCAGTCATATGTAGAATGTGAATATGAACATAATAAATATATGCGATAAGTATAGCGTAATTACTTATACTACTCTCATTGGTTGCACTATGTCTGTATAATCATCCCTCATTGTAAATACTTGCACACTTATTGAAACAATGCCTGCATTCCCGTGTTGGCCGCCTTCGATCGTGGCGCCACCTATACTCTGTATAACCGCCGCGCCAGGGCCGCGGCCAGTCAGTCCCGTCAGTCTGCTCAGACTCGTCGTCAGCGAGCTATCTATGTAGTCAGTCACTACTGTTAACGCCAGACCCCTTGAGACCCTATTTTTTCTCACCTATCCGTGCTTCTATCTTCAGGATACAGAAATCCTTCTCCTCCACGCCGCAACCCCCTTCCGGGCTGGACAGGCAACTTTATCTCATGCGGGCTGCTCCCTTGGAGCGGCACCGCTGCTCCCGAGGGAGCGCACCCCGTAGCCGGGTGCAGTGAGTGCCTTGGGGCTGGGTGGCCTGTCCTCTGGACGGGTTCAGCCCCGGCGACTCACTAGGGTGCCTGCCCAGACCAATGTCTCCCCCTAATTCCTATCATCCTTCCGGCTCTGCAATGGTCTTGTCGACCAAAAGGGCCTAACCCAACAAAACAAAACAAAACAAAACAAAACCTAATTTTTCGCGATTACTTTTAAATGCGTGAAGGAATTTCAACCAAGCTCAGGACATGGCCGTTTCAAGACAGGCCGAAACTTTAACAATTTAGATATTTTATCGCCATTTCATTATTTCAGGCACTTGTCATTGACTCGTAATGTTAACTGTTTTCCCATCCTGGATAGAGGCTTTCTACGTCATATGACATTAGGCTCCGCCCACGACTGCGGCATTGACCCGAACCCATCATCGACCTCTGTACAAACGACACCCCTGCCATCTGTGAAGGACTATGAATTTCGCTGACGCTTCACGTGCTATGAGTCAATTGCAGCAGACGGTCAAGTAAATGTTAGGCTCTTGTTGACTCTTGTATATAGGACCAAGAGGACCATCACTCCTCAACCTACTACTCAGTCGTGCTTCGAACAAACGTTAACGATTCCTAACAAATACGATTTTCGATGTAGGGTATCTGTTTGAAATACGAGCGAGCCGTATGATGTGAAGCTCAGGCAATTAACTTATTATTGCGTTGTTCGATGGTTGCATAGCGATGTACAAATCGGCAGCTACTTGGTGACATCCGACATCCCATTATCGCATTATCTGCAACGCCATAGGCTTTAACCCTATTCCTGGCGGGGGGGGGGGGGCCTCAGTAGCCCCCCCTGAGGTTTTTTGGTTATTTCTCCCAAACGCGTTGAGCTAGGAAGCTCAAATTTTCTGACTTTTCCTAAAAGGCTTCTACGCAACATGTCTGAAAATTTTGAGTTGATCTGACCTCAGGTCAGGTCACCAGAGGTGGTTTGGTGACCCTACCTCAGAAAAGTTTGCAATCACGCCAGAGCTAGAGTTTTTGACCGATCAATTTCTTCTCTTCAGGCTTTAGTTAGGGTACCAGTATGTGCAATTTGTACCTATATTTCGGAATTTTGATATCGGTGACCTAAGGTCAGGTCAGTTTCGCGACCTCCCTATTATAAGTCAATGGGGAAAAATCAACTCCCTGTTTTTACCACTAAAACGGGTCGGAATGGCCCCATATACCATACATGACTTCATATACGATCAACCTTCACTACCTTGAGGTCTGTTTTGCTGTTGGGCAGCTGTGAGGTCATGTGACGTCATCAAAGGTCACCAAAGGTTTTTGGCCAATAACTCCGCACAGGAACACGATACAGACGCGTGGATGGTCTCATTGTGTTCAGCTCGTCAAGACGCATCGAATGATATACATGATGACCTCGAGGTCACGTGACCTGAGGTCAACCTTTGACCTTGACCTTTCGAGGTCAACATATATATCATTCGATGCGGATTGACGAGAGGATCACGATGATGCCCTTAGTTTGTTCCTATCTTGACTAATTCGAAAGTTATTCGAGAAAAACTCTCTCCATATCTAACGCCGCCATTTTGACTTTTTCGACCCCTGTGACGTCATCTTTGACCTGACCTGAAAATGACCTTGGTAAAAATTGTAGACCTTGTCCATGCATATCCGATGCCGTTAACCGCTTGTCGCTAGCTTGCTTCGTTCTCGAGATCTCAGGGGGCCGTATCGGCCCCCCCCCCGCCAGTTTCTTGTCCCGGCGGAGCCCGCCAGGAATAGGGTTAAATACAGGTGAATATTTCCTAACCTTATGTCAGTTATATGCCATCTGCCCGTCATATGCAGCTTATATAATAATAAAAAATATCAGCGAACATATCAGCATTGTAGAAGCAATGCGCATTGAGCATTTATGACTCCTTAGTCATCATGTCGCTCTCTGGGCACTGTCAGCCAAGACGTTACGCACAACTCCGCCGGCTTTCGGCACCGCTCGACCGTCGCCCGTCCCCGCTCCCCGCCACAGCGAGAGTGACCGCGCGCCGGCCCGAAACCGCCGCAGGCCAAGACCACAGAGGCGGGGCTTAGCTGTGACGTCATAACGTATCACAGACTGACTGGTGATAGCCTCTACACACCGGATGAAAATCTTGCTCGAAATTTAACATTACGAGTCAATGACAAGTGCCTGAAATATTGAAATGGCGATAAAATATCTAAATTGTAAAAGTTTCGGCCTGTCTTGAAACGGCCATGTCCTGAGCTTGGTTGAAATTCCTTCACGTATTTAAAAGCAATCGCGAAAAATTAGGGTCTCAAGGGGTCTGGCGTTAACAGTAGTCAGAAGTCAGTGTCAGCCGTCGACCCAGACTAATTACTTTTGTTCGGAAATTTGCTGCTTGTGACATTGCAACTATTACTAGTACCTTGACTTTTAAAAATCACCCCGCGACATTAGGATTTAGGTACACTAATAACTATTCCATGCATGCGCCACAAGCATGTGCACCGGCACCCTATGCAAGTGCATGCATTGACCCCCCCCCCCCCCCCACCACAACCACAATAATGTACACGGTCAATGGTGGAAATTGCTAGTTGAGGCTGATCGGCTCATCCATTTGCCATCAACGCTGTCCATTTGCATATAGCGGCATTATATGTGTCAGTGTGATCCGCATGGTATCTCACCTCTGACATTGAGGCGCTCGAGGCCCTCCGGCAGCTGCCCCCTCAGTAGCGGGAGGTCGGCGGCGGTGACTGATAGGGCTTTAAGCCCAGGGCACCTTGTGAGGGACTCCAGGCTGCTGGCCGTGAGATCAGGACAGTCTGGAAAACACACAGACACACATACAGACAGGATCAGTTAGCTGTAATACATTTCGATATATGACAAAACGAAAAAAACACCTAATAACTCACATGGTTTTATGGACACAGTAGACAATGGTAAAACAGTGCAAATATATGATAATATGCAATCAGTTAAGCAAATGCATTGAACTTCATTGAACAGTGCAACACAAATGTTATGAGTATGATCAACTAACACTGAACGAATATGTCACTGAGTGAACAGTCCTCCTCCATTTTGAAGCTCAATTGGCTTCATTATTTCGCAAAGCACATTGGCTATGTATCACACCTGTCTCCACGAGGTCCGACAACGGCACACCGTTACTCGGTGTCCGCCATTCGCTGATCTCGTATATCATCGGCCTGTCCGTGCTGCCGCTGCTCACCGTATATCTCCAGTTGTGTGACCGTCCGTCCCAGGTCAGCCAGGTGACTGATGGTGTCGGCAGTCACCCCCTGGAGCGACACTGATAGACGACCCAACGGGTTCCACTCCGGCCACCTCGGCTCCGTCACCTCCGGCCCTGTCGGACAGAGCTGTGTCAGCTGACTGCAGTCGGTCAGAGCTGCCGCCAGCTCCCCGCTGCACCACTGACACCAGAGTGTCAGACACTGACACAGCCAGCACTGACATAGCCGAGCGGCTGGACAACGATATTTTTACCAACAGCATACATACGTAAGTATTCAAATATGTGCAACATAAGTATTACGATTTTTGCAAGGCACGTTGGCTTAGGCACTGGGCAGCCAGTCATGGTATAGTAACGGATCAGGTTGGTAGACTACATAAATATATGGTTCGCAGTGGTTGCAATGAAACCATTTCAAATTACAATAATTGCTACAATAATATTTCATACATGCACTTGATGCTCACACTATATGCAAATGCATGCATTGCAATTTACATCACTCTAACAATACCATATAACACAAACAAGGCTGTAAGATGTTGGCTGAATTTGATCGGTTCGTCCATTTGCCGTCTCCCTGTCCATTTGTATATCTATATGCATTGTCCATTATACCAGGCCCATGTCGTCCCCTATCTCCGCGTGTGTCCACTAACACGAATGACGTCACGCATGTGGGCGGAGCTATGGGCGGAGCCTAACGCACGCGATAGTCCAAGCCGCCATATTTGAATTTATATTTTAATAGAATCTTGCCGATATTTTGGGTGAAGTCAATTTATATGGATAGCTTGGTGACAGTTTAGCTATACGAATAATAATTTATTATGGATGTGCGTATATTCAGCTTGGAATTGCAATTAAAGTTCCGCACCGCATAGATTCGAACTCGGGACCTTTGGAATACTGCGCGGGCACGCTAACCACTACACTACCGCGACCGCGCGGCGGCCGGCGGCAGGGAGGCTGCGGAGACATGGGGGACATTTTACGCTTTTGTGAAAAAAGCAAAAGATTTAGCGAAAAACACGTAATAGATAACTTGCAGAAAATTGTCTGCTCTTTCAGATAGGATACTTAGGTTTGATATATCTTGTGCAGACTTCATTCTACAGTGCTTCGAAAATCGCTCATTAACATGGGGATTGAACGGGGCTTCGAGACTTGACTCCAAATGACGTCACGAGCTGACGTCACGAAAAGGTAGAATCGCCGGACGACCCTACCTGGTATATAGGGCCTTGCATTATACCGACATTACATGTATGATCCGTGGTATCTCACCTCTGACATTGAGGCGCTCGAGGCCCTCCGGCAGCTGCTCCCTCAGTCGCGGGAGGTCGGCGGCGGAGACTGACAGCCGCTCCACAGTCTCCCGTGAGCTCCGCAGCTCCGTCAGCTCGCTGTCACCGACTCCGGCCGGAAGGATAATAGTGTTTGGGCCCACCCTGATGATGGCACCACGAAGTTGACTTGGAATAGTAGTAACTTGTGCTGGAAAGGTGATTGAACCAATGTCAGGCATTTGTCTAGGTCAAACATCGTACACTTACCTACAGGTGTAGAAAACACAAAGTGAAAACTGTTTGTGGTTACAATGCTGTGATAATTCCGTGTCTGAGTAAATATGTATGTACTTTATCAAAACGATGTGAGTTTCATAAGTTACGGCGACTTTCCGTAACATAATATTCAACAAATAAAATGATAATGGGTCTTTGACATATAAAACAAAATCACCACTATAGTCCGTTTTTCTTAAGTTCGACCCTCACTCAAAGCATCTTTTTGAACAGAGCACGAGAATTGCTGAGTGAATGACTGGGAAATCTGGCCGGCGCACAATGTATTCAAAGAATGATACTATTTGCAATATGTGTTATAAACACCGATAAAGTAGCATAGTGTTAAACTCCATGCGTTGAATTGATGAGCTCAGTTATAATTCCCGACAGCTCGTGTATTGCTAAGGAATTTGAAATGTAGGCAGATTCTCATTGCGAGTCGGGGAAACAGAGTTCAATTGCTAATAATTTTGGTCAAGTCAATCATATGTGAAAAGCAATGTGCGCCGACCAGTTTTCCCAGTTATTCACTCAGCAATTCTCGTGCTGTGTTCAAAAAGATGCTTTGAGTCAAGGCCCTAAAACATAAGGTTGGACGAAGTTTCCTACCAACAAGGTACCAGAATTTGTCGTGATATTTCGTCCTTGCAGTTGTTTCTTTACAAAAATAGAGCAAACAAGCATGTTTTCTAATAGTATGAAAATTTGAAAGGAAATAATAAGTCACTGTACATTTGATTCACAAAAAAGCCATTTCGAAATCAAATTCAGTGTAGTTTTGACCAAACTCTAGTCGACTTATCTTCTTAATTTTCCAGATGCGTGGTTCAGACAAACACGTTGCTATGGGCGGTTGCTAAGGACGCTATCTCGTATTTGCAGATAGTTTTGTTGTTATGAAATAGGGTAAAACAAGCTCTTTGGATATTTTCCTGTATTTCGGGGCTCATCTAATTTATCTAGCTTTGGCATAATATTTTTACTTTATCATATCATGGTTCCAGACACGGGTGGTTAATTTCAGCGCGTAAAGAAATAAGAATAAAGACTTATTATGTTATTCAGAATGCAAGTCGCCAGTCCCTGGTGGTAAAGTGAATGATACACAGAGATATCTGTTTTTATCCCGGTAGAAGCATCCTTGTGATCTAAGTGTGATAGATCATAAATTGTCTGAGAATCAGAAGTTTAGCTATAAGTCAAGAACCACGAAACAACCAGCTTATAGCTGGTGGGAGAGCCGCCACTCAGAAGCTTTCAGAAAACCGTGAACGGTTGAGACAGCCGACAGGTTGAGAAATCAAGAGACCTGAGGCGCCAGAGAACCAGAGAATGCCTGGGAACTTTAAGGAACCGCTGGCTACCAGATCTTGACTAGAAACCAGAAGCCATGAAATGACCATTTCACGATCTAAGATGCAGATTCTGGTGCCTGAAAATCGTGTGAACACACTTGACACTCCAACAACAGCTCATTTCGGTACCGTTATAAGTCCAGGGCTGCGCAGTCGATGGATTTTCGGTGACTCTGACTCCGATTCCGACTCCGGCTTCCAAAAACCAACTTCGACTCCGACTGCGGGCATACATTACCTATCGACTCCAGCCGACTCTATTTCCGACTTCGACTCCGCAACCCTGCCAGGTCTGGGAGTCGATTGATTTTCGGTGACTCCGACTGACTCCGGCTCTGGTTTCCAAAATCGACTCCGACTCCGACCCCGGTCAGAACTGTGGTTATAAATAACATGTCTGTGAATAAAAGCAGTTTCGGGTGCAGCCACCCCCTTTTGCTTTTCACACTCAGAAGCTCGTCCAAACAGGAAGATGAACAGGAACTCAGCTTAACCCTCGCCCCGTTGGGGGGGGGGGCATTTTGGCCCCCCCCCCCTGTGGTTTTTCCTGAATAGCAAGAAAACAGCGGCGCCAAATTTTCAGTACCTTCCCGGGCATCAATTTGACACCTTCACACCAAATTTCAAGTCTTAGGTCACCTTAGGTCAGGAGTTATTGAGGTCAAACTGAGGTCATGTTCGAGCAAAAATGAGCAAAAAACATGCAATCTTTAAACGCTCACCAAATCTACAGTTATCAAGTAATTTCAAAGTTCTTTATATGGTCTAGTAGACAAAAAGCGGCGCTACAAAACTGCTTTCTCGGATTTTCAAAATTTTGGGTTTTTGAAAAAAAAATTGAAAAAATTGATTTTTTTAGAAAAACTAAAAAAAATCCAAAACTTTTCCCAATTTCGATAAACTGGAATATATGTGATAGTCCCTGCGCTCTTCTACATACATACCAAATTTCAGATCGATATCTCCTTTTTTGGCCAAGTTATAGCGAAAAACTGTTCAAAAATGATGACGTCAAATTTTTGCACTCAATTTTTAGCGATTCTAGACCTCGTACGGGAAAACAAAGACCACCATTGAACTCCCCGTGACGAGCTGCATCGAATCATCGATACCTATTTTATGCAAAAATATCAACTTTGAAATTTGACCTAATTTGACCTGACCTTGACCTGACCTTGACCTGACCTTGACCTGACCTTGACCAAAACGTGACCTAAGCTGGCCCCAAAGGCTGCCTGACCCACATAATCGCATTTGTCATGTAAAATGGACCATAAAGCATGTATCACACGACACTTTCATATTGTGGCCCCCAGTGACCTGACCTCTGTGACCTGACCTGGTATCAGTGACCTCAAATAGCAAAATATGCGTTTGAAGAACATTTCCCCATCGATTATTTTTAATGAAATGCATTTTACTCGATTTTACAACGCATTTCTTGAAATGCCTGTAAACGGTGAAAATTGGACCTTTGACCTGACCTGTGACGTCATCGGTTTGGCCTAGGTCAATGAAATTGGGTCACAAGGTAGTTCCCTGATAGGGCTATCCAACACCGTTTGCCGCTTGTCGCTAGGTTGCGTGGTTCTCGAGATCTTAGGGGGGTGGCAAAATGCCCCCCCCCCCAACAGTTGCTCGGCAGAGCCCAACGGGGCGTGGGTTAAACATCGGTCTTGGAAAGGTCACCGAACGTAATATTTTTCCGCAAACAAACGAAGACCACGAACTTGAGCAATGACATGTCGATTAAGACTCTGAATCCGGGCAAAACTGTCGACGCCGATCGACTCCGACTCCGACTCCGCAGACCTAAACTTTATTCAACGGATTTCCATGAGACTTTACGCCGGCAAAATGCAGATAAACGTGCTCCTCTCGTCAATACGCGTCAAAAAACTTTGAATTGACCACAAAAGGTCATTTCGACAATTTTACCTCATTTCCAGGTCATGTCCTGGCCGGAAAATGTCGTAATGCATATCAGTCGATCTGTATCGTTGGGCTGAACACATCTAATGTATTTTTGTTGCTGTTTAATCTGAATCAAATCTTAATCTTAATCAAACTGCTGGAGACCATTCTTGACCTGAAATGACCTTAGGGACATAAAGGGGGGTCACGGGTGCAATGCTGCGCCTCTTGGGGCACCATATGCGATGAGATCGATGCGTGGCGACTGGCGTACCCACACCTCGCTGTTTCTGCCTTTGAACAATTTTTGTCTGCTTTATCTGCTAAAATTAAAAACACAATAAACACATTATCGAGCGTAGAAGCATGACTCTATTGTTACGTACAAGCTTTGTTCAGTTTGTCTGTAAGCACCATCAAATATTGCAAGCTTCAAGGGGTCAAGGGGTCAGCGCAGCACTGCGCTGTGGCGAGTGCTGCGGCCAGTGATCGGTCGGAAGCAGCAGCAGCAGTGCACTGTGCCGAACATCACCCCAGACGCGCTCAATGACTATTACGTAACTGTCGGTCCAAGCACTTCTGCCAGCGTGCCTGCGCCCGCGACGCCTGTAACTACAGTGCTACCCAGAGTGCTAACATGCAGTTTCCGTGTCGGGCCAGTTAGCATGGATGAACTGTACTCTGCACTGATGAGCATGAAGCCGTCCAGCTCGACCGGACTCGACGGTATAAGTGTGCACATGTTGCAGAGGTGTTTCACCGGATTGAGTCACACGTTGCTTGATGTAGTTAACTCCAGTCTTTCATCCGGCTGTGTCCCTAGTGGTTGGAAACACGCACTTGTTACTCCTATCCCAAAGGGTAAAATCTCTGCCGACCCTTCTGATACGAGGCCTATTTCGCTGCTGCCGGCCATTATGAAGATAGTAGAACGCGTAGTCCAGTGTCAGTTGTCCGGTTATTTAGAGCAGCATGCACTTCTCGCGGACGCCCAGCACGGTTATCGCAAGTGTCGGTCGACCGAGACAGCACTCCACGTCGTTACCGATCGAGTACTCTGTGCCATGGATAGAGGCGAAATATCTGTGCTAGTTTTGCTCGATCTATCAAAATGTTTCGATGTTGTGCCGCATGCCACACTGTTAGCGAAGCTCGCCCTGTACGGCATTGATACGGACTGGTTCCGAAGCTATTTGTACGGCCATACCCAGCAAGTCCGCGTGAGCTCTATTGGGGGACGGCATCAGCTATCTAGGACTAGGGAGAATACCATCGGTGTGTTCCAGGGCGGTGCACTTAGCTGTATCATGTACATGCTGTTTGCGAACGATTTGAGCCTTGGACTGCCGAGTGACGTCACTACTGTTCAATATGCCGACGATACGCAGCTATTAGTATCCGGCAGCAAGCGTGACTTCCAGAGAATCATCAGCAGCATGGAAGTTGGAACACGCACTCAGCTATGTGTACAACTGGTTCTGTCACAACGGGATGAAGTTGAACACCAAGAAGACACAGATGGTTGTGCTGGGAACTCCCGCGATGCTCCGTACGCTGCCGCCTGTTGTTGTCCGCTTCTGTGGCAATGTTATAGCCGACTCGAGAGAGGTTAAAAACCTCGGTGTGTTCATTGATCGCCACCTTAGCTTTGAGACACATGTGACATACATCACAAGGAAGTGTACAGGCATATTGATAGGGTTATCTCATGCGCGCCATGTCATGCCAAAACAGACGCTGAAGGTGATTGTTGAGGCACTCGTCCTGTCCGTGGTTCGATACTGCCTATCCGTCTACGGCTCATGCGGAGTCACCCAGCGCGACCGTGTACAGAAGATAGTCAACTTCTGTGCCCGTGTAGTGACAGGGAAGCGCCGTTTCGACCATATTAGCGGTGAAATACAGCGGCTCCGTTGGCTCAAGGTAGAGCAGCTGATCGACTACCACACCGTGTGTGCGCTGGCGAGTGTTATCGTGACTCAGCAGCCTGAGTACCTATGTGGAACTATTGGACCGAGATCGAGCCAAAGGCACACCTACAGAACGAGGCAAGCCGATCTATTCAGCCGCCCCAACATACGCACTGAATCCGGTAGGCGGAAAATGTGTTACCGTGGCGTGACACTGCTCAACGGTATAGGGGCAGATCCCTGTGAGCCCGGGTTCCGTAGAGCTGTCAGAGCGGTCTTCGGATCTGTGGATCCTCAGTGATGATCGGAGTGAGTTGATGCATGAGTGGTATGCGTGTGGATTGGAACGTGAATGTGGCCTAAATTCGTCCTTTTTGTACTTGTACACTGACGTGAAAGAGTGAAAAGCCATGGTGAGTGGACTTCTTTTGAATAAATCTGAATCTGAATCTGTCAATGCCCTGGGGCTGTGACGTCACGCTGGGGATCGTGACGTCAGCCGTGGGGTTGCCAGTCTAGTATGAACTAGACTTCGACCCCCCCTGCTTTGAGTGAGGGTCGAACTTAACCCGGCAGGCGGTGGGCCTACCAGCCACCTTCCACGCGGTGGGGGGGGGGGGGGCACTTTTTTGCCCCCCCCCCCGTATCTCCGAAACTACTGGACGGATCCGGAAAATTCAAACGGCGTTCGATAGCCCTGTCAAATTTGTCGAAGGAAACCAAATTTCATTGACCTCGGGGTCACCGATGACGTCACAGGTCAGGTCAAAGATAAAAGGTTTCACCGTTCACAGGGCTTCTAGGGAAAGCGCTATAACACCGAGTAAAACGCATTTTGTCGAAAATCAGCGATAAGGCGTCAGTTGTCTAGTACGTACATATGTTGCTATTAGAGGTCACTGGTCATACCAGGTCAGGTCACAGGTCAGGTCACCAAAGGTCACCAAGTGTCACCACATGAGCCCAACTTTACTAAGGTTATGTGATGCATGTTTTATGGTCAGTTTTTCATTTCCAACTCAATGGTGTTGGTTATAAGACCATCAGGTACGGTTTAAGCCACTTTCTGGTGGAGGTCAGGTCAAGGTCAGGTCAAAAAAGGTCAAATTTCAAAGTTGATATTTTTGCATAAAATGGGTATCGATTCGATGCAGCTCGTCACGGGGAGTCTAATGGTGGTCTTTGTTTTACGCTACGAGGTCTAGAGTTGCTAAAAATTGAGTTTGAAAATTTGACGTCATCAATTTTGAACAGTTTTTTCGCTATAACTTGGCCAAAAAACGAGGTATCGATCTCAAATTTGGTATGTAGATAGAAGGCGGTAGGGACTATCACATATATTCCGGTTTTTTCGAAATTCAAAAAACTTTTTGGATTTTTTGGCTATTATATTCAAAAAATATATTTTTTGATTTTTGGGGGTCAAAATCCAAAAAATTCGAAAAAACCGAAATAGCAGTTTTGTAGCCCTTTTAATTCCACACCTTTGATGTCAAAAACATTTTTCTGTATCTCTAAAGCTGTAGGCCTGACAGCTCTTGCCGCGAAACCTTTTTTTGGGTCAAAAATGGCAAAAATGACGTCACTCTTACGTCATTAGCGGCCAATCTATCATAGCCTTTGGAAACATTTTTGGTCACCATGTGCGCTAGCTGCTCCCGGGAGGGTACTGAAAGTTTGGTGACGATCGGCGCAGCGGTTCTCGAGATATATCGAAAAAAGTAAAGGGGGGCAAAAAAATGCCCCCCTTCCCCACCGCCTGGAAGGTTAAGAAAAACGGACTATAATTAGTCCATTATATTCCGAACTAGGCATATTTTCATGATGTCAATTGATCAATATGACATCATGATGAGTTTTTGAAACCTTTTCACATAAGTATTTTGTTCAGCACTTATGTGTAGCTAATTATAACAATTTTGTATCGTTATAAAATTTGTAGCGTAAATATTACGTCCAATAGAGGCCCAAATCATTGACCATCACTATTCACCACACGGCACACGACTTGTCATCCTACAGCTTGCCATGGCTTATGGCTTCCGTCTTACCTTAGGATGAGGCAGCATTACCTGCAATACATGTAATATGTGTTGTATCCAGTTATTCTTGGTTTGATTTAGGCTTCAGATTTTCAGGGATAAACTGCTTCTCCACGTTATTTATAAACATTTGCTAGAAAAAAAGCAGTTCCTTAGAGCAAAAATAACAAGCAAGGAGCGTTGCCGCCGGCCAGTTTCCTGTTCTTTGTGTCCCTGTGTCGCCCCCCTGCCCCGTTCAGGAGCGCCCGACAGCGCCACCTGCACCTGACCAGTCCGGCAGCGTTTGGGGTCGCCGCGCAGTGCGCACCGCCGACAATCAGCTGACGCGGCCGGCAGCGCGTCTCAAGGTCACTGGAGGTCAGCCGGGCCGCGGCCCGCCGGGTGGCCGTAACGTCACAGCCAGCGAACGCTGAGCGCCGGAACAGCTACTGTTGTTTATCCCTTCCTAGCCATTCATATATGAGTAACTTCAACCGCTGCTCACCATCTGTGACTACTAGGGTAATCCGTGACCCCAGCTCCGTGGCCAGGTGACTGATGGTGTCGGCAGTCACCCCTTGGAGAGATACCGACAGACCACTCCCGTACCGTCCAGGCCACCTCGGCTCCGTCACCTCCGGCCCTGTCGGACAGAGCTGTGTCAGCTGACTGCAGTCGGACGGAGCTGCTGCCGGGTCGGGAGGCGGCTGACACTGTGGTGTCAAACCCTGACACAGACGACACTGACAAAGCCAGGGTCGATCGGCACTGTTGGACAGTAATTGAACATTGTGCACAATGCATGCGCTACGCTTATACATGCGTCAGTTAAAACCCGCGCCCAGATGGGGTCTGCCGAGCAATGCGGTCTGATGGGGGGGCATTTTGTCCCCCCCTCAGATCTCGAGAACCACGCAACATAGCGACAAGCGGTGAACGGTGCTGGATAGCCGCAACGGGGAACTACCTTGTGACCCAATTTTATTGACCTCGGTCTAACCGATGACGTCACAGGTCAGGTCAAAGGTCGAATTTTCACCGTTTACAGGCATTTCAAGAAATGCGTTGTAAAATCGTGTAAAATGCATTTCATTGAAAATCATCGATGGGGAAATGTTCTTCAAACACATATTCTGCTATTTGAGGTCACTGATACCAGGTCAGGTCACAGAGGTCAGGTCACTGGCGGGTCACAATATGAAAGTGTCGTGATACATGTTTTATGGTCCATTTTACATGACAAATGCGATTATGTGGATCACACAGACTTTAGGGCCAGCTTAGGTCACGTTTTGGTCAAGGTCAGGTCAAATTAGGTCAAATTTCAAAGTTGATATTTTTGCATAAAATGGGTATCGATTCGATGCAGCTCGTCACGGGGAGTTCAATGGCGGTCTCCGTTTTGCGCTACGAGGTCTAGGATTGCGAAAAATTGAGTTCAAAAATTTGACGTCATCAATTCTTTAGTTTTTTTTCGCTATAACTTGGACAAAAAAGAGGTATCGATCTAAAATTTGGTATGTATATCGAAGAGTGCAGGGACTATCACATATATCCCGTTTTTTCGAAATTCGAAAAAAATTGGATTTTTTTTTAGTTTTTCTAAAAAATCAATATTTTTGATTTTTGGGGATCGAAATCCCAAAATTTCGAAAATCGGAGATAGCAGTTTTGTAGCGCCGTCTTTTCTCTACACAACCACATAAAGAACTTGTTAACTGTAGAATTGGTGAGCGTTTCAAGATGTCATGTTTTTTGCTCATTTTTACTCGAACATGACCTCAGTTTGACCTCAATAACTCCTGACCTGAGGTGACCTGTGACTTGAAATTTTGTGTGAAAGTGTCAAATTGATGCCCGGTAAGGTACCCAAAATTTCGCGGGTTCTGCGCGCCGCCGTTTTTTCGCTATTTAAGAAAAACCACAGGGGGCCAAAATGCCCCCCCCCCCATCAGGGCGCGGGTCCTCGCCCGCACATGGGAGGGGGGGTTGCGACCCCCCAGGTAGTCTTTCTGCTCTGCACTCAACATTTTTAGAGCTAGAAGGCTGATTTTTCGTATAGCTGCTCCTCTATCCCTTCTTGATGTCCACTGATAATTTCAAGTTTCTGCGGTTTTTGGTTTCGGAGATATGACCTTGTTTTTCAGGTCATGTCATGACCCAAATGGCCAATTCTCAACATCTTGCGTTGGCTATGGGCCTTGTGAGCTTTTGACACCTTGATTTCGACCTGTTATGCCAGTCTTACCTCCCATCTATCATGGAACATGTTGTTCGACGATGTACAGATGTCAAGGTCAGGGTCAAGGTCAACCTAGGTCATCTAAGATAATTGCGCTTTAGGCAAGCTAAATTAACTTTTTTTGAAGTTTTTTTACTGCATTTTTGGTAAAAACTTCTCAGATCATGATTTCATGTAATATGGACACATAAACAATCGGTGCACACATCAGTATACACGCAGACACACACAGACATACAAACACATATCATTGACCTTGACCTAACTTGACCTGAAATGACCTCAGCAGCAAAAACCTGGTCGGGTAGTGTGACAAAGAGGTTCTAGCTGGCTTGGCACCAGAAAACGGCATCGTCATCGGTATATGATAAGCAGCGCACTTGATATCCAACGGTGACCCAAAACAGCAACATTTTTTAGTTTGACCTGACCTGGAAGGTCAATGACTGACCTGGGAAGGTAAAACTGGGTATCATTGGATTCGTCTCTTCCCAAAGAATCTTTTTGGTCTTTATCGCTAAGCTCTATCTCCAACAGGAACGAAATGGCGCGGGGGTGACAACCCCCTCCCCCCCCCCCGATGTGCGTTCTAGGATGGGAAAATGGCATGTGCGGGCGAGGGTTAATTAATACAGTTCAGTACATACAGGTCATACAGGTTCAGTACATACAGGTTCGTTTGCAAGAGTATAAAGTAGGTATGTACAATACAGTGGCTAATGTTTGTGTAGCATGTAGGTAGCATGGCACACATATGTCCGCTGAACGTTTATCACTGAAACTGTTACTTTATGTACCATGTAAGTACCTACCACCATTCAGAAGTTATAGTACGCGTTTCCTCAACTACTTCTCACCCGTAACGTATAGCGTCCTCAGTGACGTCGGCAGCAGCCGCAGCCACCGCCCCGTTCCGAAGGACGGGACCCTGACGGTCAGCTCCTCCAAGCGAGGAAGACTCTGCAGGAGCGCCGTCAGCTGATCCTCGCCAAGGGCTGACGGAGCGTCGAACGTCGTCACGGTCCTTAGCGCCTCTCTCAGCACTGTGGTATCACTGTCTGCCGGTGGCTGCGGCTCCGTCTGTACCGTGACGTCATGAAACGCTTTTGAAATTTTACTGAAAAGACAAGAAAAAAGGAACATAAATCAAAATGCAGAAGAAGTTTACAACTTTAGTTGGCTCCTTTGATGATACGATATGCATTTACATATCGTCGTCAGCAATAGTATGTTGCCAAATCTATTCGGTTGAATAAAATCGTTCAGAGTTGATTTCATACGAATCTGAACGATTTGATACGACCGATTAGATTTTGTGACACGATTGCTGATGAAGACATGTAAATACGTGCGGGATATAGTGCCCCGAACTGGCCAACTTTATGCAGATTGCAGGACGTCTGTCGAAAACTGGAACAATACGATCGAGACTAAACGGCTAACTTGCGAAAGATGGTACGAATTCCAGACATGTTTCTTTGATTGGGCGGAAATTACAATTACAAGTTACTCGACCTTCAAGGACCTAGTTGTGGTTTATTTCTTACACCTTCTACAAAGAAAGTTTACTTCTCACCATGACAGCTCTCCGAACTCTTTCAGCCCCCACAGCCACCCCTGCTGCCTCCCAGTCTCACCCCTGGGGACGGCCGGATGGCGCCGCTCGCCGGCGGACCTCCTGCCGCAGATCCTCCACCACGGTCTGGCGAGTGGTCCGCTCCTCGATAACTGCCTGCTCCAGGCGGACCACCGCACCGTGAAGTGCGGCGTTCTCCCCCTTGAGCTTCTGCGTGTCCGAATGGTCCTTCGCCACTACCTCACTCAGAATGGTCACCTTTTCACGAAGGGGGACCACCACTTCCCGAAGGGCGGACATCTCTTCACGAAGGGCAGCCACCACTTCACGAAGGGCGGACACCTCCCGGCGAAGGGCGGCCAGGTCTTCACGCACATCTGTCATCTCCATCTGTAACGCATAATTACAGTTTTTTACGTTTCTACTAATCATAAAAAGGTGACATAGTACGTGGTGTTACGTCGTACGCATTACGACATGTCGTGCAGCGTCGTGTCTAATCACGTCACAAAACGACGTGTCATCACGTATTACGACATGTTTTGTCATGCAACCCGTATTGTAGCATACCAGGCAGGCAAGCTTGGCAGGCAGGCAAACAGGTCTTAGGTAACCAATATCAAAATTTACTATCGTTACTACTTTTTCGCAAAAAAAACGAGATAATAAAGACAAGTTTATCAATACGAATGTTTACCCCATGGCCTGGCCTTTTTCATAACGCGGACGGTGCAGAGGGAGGGTCTGGCTGTACGACCCCTGGCGATTGGCTCCTGATGCACTTAGAAACACCAGATGTATACTTATAGGATGGATAGGATGTATAGGATACAGCCAGTCACACAGCAGGACTGACACAGTCACACAGCAGGACCTCGGCTAAGGAATTTCGACTGGGGGATGGGGGGCAAACCAGACTCCAGAAATCAGAATATCATATACCACCTAATATGCACCGTATAAGCGGACCTTTACACCATACCTAACATTCATACCATATACCGTAGGTAACGGTATACCAAAATTCTGCCTTATCAGTTAAGCATACGTAAACATGTCTAAACAAACTTCTATCAAAGGTTTGGAGGCCAGCGTAGGGCCCTCAGAAGCCGAAGTCGAGCCGTCGGAGGCTAGCATGGTCATTTAGAGTCCGCTTTGGGACCTTAAATAGCCAAATGTGGACGTGGGGCCCAAAGAAGCCAGTGCGTAGCCCTTTAGACCAGCGTGGGGCAATATAAGGGCAGCGTGGGTTCCTCTAAGACCAGCGGCGTTGGGTCTTCTGAGGCCAGATTGGGGCCCACTGGGAACAGCTCAGCTTGGGGCTATCTAAGGACAATGTAGGCCCTCTTAGGTTAACGTGGGGCCCTCTGTCCTCTGAAGTCTAAGGTTGGCGCTGGGCCCTCAGAGGCTGGCGTTGGGCCATCAGAGGCCACCTAGAGGGCCTCGACGGTCAGACTGTAGCCCTTATGCATGTTTAACCCACGAGCCGCTGGGGGGACATAGAGTTGCCCCCCTTTACGTTTTGCGGAATATCTCCGAAACCTGATAAGCTACGAACGTGAAACTCAAGGTAGCTTCAAATGAATACCAAGGCAATGTTTGAGCAGAGTTTGGTGGTTGTAGCACTTAAGATGACGTCACAGTGACGTCATAAAATATTGTCGTTTTCCTATACGGACCGTTTCTGATGTCGCTGAGCATGAAACTCAACTGTAAATGAACTAGACAGCACCTGCTGTCATCCTGAAACACCTAAATACACTTCCATCAAGGTCCTGACCAATAATCGGCCCTTTATATACGGTCCCATATATCTGATATATCGTGAGGAAACTGGAGAGTCGCAAATCTATAATTTCACTTATGACGTCACTGTGACGTCATTTCAGATGAAATCGACATTAAATTTGGACACAACCTCGGCTATGTATTCACTATTCAGGAAGATATGTGCAAAGTTTCGCTTCTCTATCTCTTCGCGTTGCGACGATATCGTCGCAGAAGTAAGGGGGGCAACTATATGCCCCCCAGCGGACGGCGGATGGCGCGGAGGCCCAGCGGCCGCCGGGTACTTTAAACAAGGATTACACATCACTTTCATATTGTGGTCCTCAGTGACCTGACCTCTGTTACCTGACCTGGTATCAGTGACCTCAAATAGCAAAATATGTGTTTCACGCGCAATTCTTGCGCCCATTCGGGGCGCGGGATTGCAAAAAAAAAACTGATCTTTTTGTTTTGCAAAACTAAAATGCAAACCAAAAAGATCAGTTTTTTATTTTGTTTTGCATTTTAGGGGATTATTTTAAAAGTCACTTTTTTAACCCTCGCCCCGTTGGGGGGGGCAATTTGGCCCCTCCCTGTGGTTTTTCCTGAATAGCAAGAAAACAGCGGCGCGCAGCGCCGCTAAATTGTCAGTTCCTTCCAGGGCATCAATTTGACACCTTCACACCAAATTTCAAGTCTTAGGTCACCTTAGGTAAGGAGTTATTGAGGTCAAACTGAGGTCGTGTTCGAGCAAAAATGAGCAAAAAACATGCAATCTTGAAACGCTCACCAAATCTACAGTTACAAAGCAATTTCAAACTTCTTTATATGGTCTAGTCGACAAAAAGCGGCGCTACAAAAATATTATCTCGGATTTTTAAAATTTTGGGTTTTTGACCCAAGAAATTCAAAAAAATGATTTTTTTTTTCCAAAACTAAAAAAAATCCCAAAATTTCCCGAATTTCGAAAAAAATCGAAATATATGTGATAGTCCCTGCGCTCTTCTATATACATACCAAATTTCAGATCGATATCTCGTTTTTTGGCCAAGATATAGCGAAAAAACTGTTCAAAATGATGACGTCAAATTTTTTAACTCAATTTTAGCGATTCTAGACCACGTAGGGCAAAACAAAGACCACCATTGAACTCCCCGTGACGAGCTGCATCAATTCAATACCCATTTTGTGCAAAAATATCAACTTTGAAATTTGACCTAATTTGACCTGACCTTGACCTGACCTTGACCAAAAAGTGACCAAAGCTGGCCCAAAAGTCTGCCTGACCCACATAATCGCATTTGTCATGTAAAATGGACCATAAAACATGTATCACACGACACCTTCATATTGTGACCCCCCCCCCGCCCCAGTGACCTGACCTCTGTGGCCTGACCTGGCATCAGTGACCTCAAATAGCAAAATATGTGTTTGAAGAACATTTCCCCATCGACGATTTTCAATGAAATGCATTTTACTCGATTTTACAACGCATTTCTTGAAATGCCTGTAAACGGTGAAAATTCGACCTTTGACCTGACCTGCGACATCATCGGTTTGACCTAGGTCAACAAAATTGGGTCATAAGGTAGTTCCCTGATAGGGCTATCCAACACCGGTTGCCGCTTGTCGCTAGGTTGCGTGGTTCTCGAGATCTTTGGGGGGGGGGGGGGGCAAATTGCCCCCCCCCCCCAACGGGGTGCGTTCCTCGGCAGAGCCCAACGGGGCGCGGGTTAACCCGCGACCGCCTGGGGGGGGTCGGATCCGACCCCCCCCTCCGTTTTTCTTGAATAACTCATGAACCGCTTGAGCTATCAACTTGAAACTTCGCATACCTTCTCCCCCATCAATTTGACGTCTCCTGTGCAATTTTTAAGAAAACATTTTTAAAAATTTCTGAGATATATCGATTTTAGTGATGTAACTACATGGCGTTTTCAGTCAAAAAATGGTAAATGTTTAGAAAATCGCCAAAAATCGAGGTTTTAAGCAAATTGCAAATTAAGGACATGAAAAGACGCAGCTCAACGAGTTCTTAAAAATGGCCATCTCGGATTTTCCATAAAATGCGTTTCTCACCCCTAAAAATTCAAAAAACTATATTTTTTGGAAAACAGCTAATAAAATCCAAAATTTTGAGAATTTCCAAAAAACCGGAATATATGTTATAGAGCTTTATTAGAACATTAGATGTCCCAAATTTCAACTTTCTATCTTGATTTTTGACCCCCAAATTGTAAAAAATAGCTCCAACATGCATAGGGCATGGTGACGTCATAAGCATTTTCGCGAATTAGAGGCACTTCTGAACATCGCATGTGAAAACAAATGGCACCACTAGATTCCTGGGACAAAGCTCGTCTAGAAAAGTGCATTTTTATGTCAAAAATAAAAAGTTGAAAAATTGACCTTTTTTCTTAGCCCTCGTTTAGTTATGTATGGTATAAACGATTTTTTATGCTTTCAATGCACACTTATCACCAGCACAGTGACTTGGGGTCACATATAACCATTACCATCGGATTTGGCGTGAAAAATAAGCCATAAAACATGTGTCGCACGCCCATGTAGCAGAAAGTGAAAACCGTGACCTTTCGTGACCTGACCTGACCTTGACCCGTACTTAGTATGACCCCTATACGCACATGGTACCTTCACTAGCCCGCGCCCTGCTGGGGGGGGGTGTTTGAACACCCCCCCCTGTGGTTTTTCGCGAATATCTCAAAAACGGCGGCGCGGAGCGCCGCCGTTTTTGGTACACCTTATCATACATCAATTCTACACATGTTGTGAAAATTTCAGACCAAGGTCATTCAAGGTCAGGTCACCAGGTCACTCGAAGTGACCTCACCTCATAAAAAGTTTCAATGTCTGTCATAGCTACACCGAGTGACCGATCGCTTTGAAACTTTCAGCGATTGCTAAGAGCATTAGCATGTACAAAATGTATATCTCAGAATTTTGATATCGATGACCTAAGGTCAGGTCAATTTTGCGACCTCACCATTATAAGTCAATGGGAGAAAATTGAAATGCGCCTGTTTTGGACGAAAGACATTATAAACACTCCCAAACACTGAATTACAAGTGGTTTAGACACACTGAACATGAAAATGGTGTCTGTGACCCCTGTTTATGCCCTGAGGTCATCTTAGGTCACGAATGGTATCTAACAGTTTTTCGCAAATAACTTTTGATAGAGGCATGCTAGAGCGATGAAAACGCCTTAGATGTGTTCAGCTCGACGATACGGATCGACTGATATGCTACATGACCCTTTCCGGTCAGGTCATGACCTTGACCTGAGGTCAAATTTTCAAGTTGACCTTTCAAGGTCAAATTATAGTTCGTTCGATGCGTCTTGACGAGAGGAACACGATGCCGGTAAAAGTAAGCTCGTACAATGCTTGGGTCAAAAGTTATTGCAGAAAAACTGGTTCCGAAAAAATCGGCTATTTTTGCAGTTTTTGCCCCCTGCAGGCAAAACCGTTGACGTTAGGTCAAATCTGAGAAAATTACTCAGAAAGGGCGTTAATAGGGCTATCGAATGCGCTTTTCCGCGGCGCTGTAGCTCTATTGGTTCCCGAGTTATGCGTTGGCTTCTTGGAAATTTTCGACATTCGACCTGGAAATCGGCGAAAATTTGCCTTCAATGACCTCTGGTGACCTGACCTTTGACCTGACCAAAAAATTGACCGAAGTGATTTCCTCATTATTTTTGACGCTCTTTCGAACGCCGCCTTCCGCGTATCGCTACGTGGCCCAGGAGCCGAGTTAGAAGGGGGGTGTTCAAACACCCCCCCCAGCAGGGCGTGGAAATCCAGGACCCCCAGCCGGGCGCGGGCTAGGTCTTTGAGGTCATTTGTGGTGAGTTTCGAGCAGCAGCTATCGATTCCGCTGTCCGTAAGCCTAATCATGCAAAACCCCTGAATTTGACCTTTGACCTGACCTTGACCCGAAAGTTGACCTCAATCTTAAAATCTTAAGAGTGTTTTGGGAAGGTCTCGTAGAGACCTTTCGAACGCCGCCTCGCGGGGCTCGATACGACCATTGGTTCTCGAGATAACAGGGGGGGGTCGGATCCGACCCCCCCCCCCAGGCTGATGTGGGTACGGAAATAGCCCAGGCGGTGCCGGGTTAATTTGGGGTTCAAAATCAAAGCAAATATATAACAAACAAGATAGCAGTTTTGTAGCGCTGCTCGTTTTATATCTTTTTGTTTTTCAACATTTTCCTTTATCTTTAAAACTTTGGGCTTGACAGATCCTCCCATCAAACCTCTTTTGGGTCGGAAATGCCTGAACGTGACGTCACTCTGACGTCATTTGCGGCCAACCTATCATAGACTGTGGAAGAAAATGTAACGAGGTGTAAAACCGATTTACAACAGGGTTCTGAAATTTTCGCGGCGATCGGCGCATTAATTTGGGAGATATTGCGAAACGACTGGAACGGGGGGTGGCATAAAACACCCCCAACCAGGGCGCGGGTTAAAAAGTTTCCACTGGGTCCTCTAAAGTAAAGATAACATCAGGATTGTGGATAAGCCGCTGGATGTTCTCTACGATATTAAACTAAGATCAGTGTAAACACGGGCGACAAACTATGAAAAGGAAATAGGATTGATTGACTTTCACATTGGGTTTGACAGCTTGGAGAATATTTATTTGAAGCGCATTATATTTACTCCGACAAGGTGGGCAAAATCTCGTCACTGCCGGGGCAACTGGCAGCCACTGCGGGACATTTGCCCCCTCCCCAGTAGCGCGGAACACCTTCAATTAAGGTGGGTGGGGGGGGGGGAGCATTGCCGACGTTTGGTCCCATTCTGTCCATGCAACGTCCATAGGGCTTATGTTAAAATGCCGAAATCAAGGGGACACGATTCCCCGGTGCACCCCCCCCCCCCCGTTCCGCCACCTATGCCCTCTTCCCCGTTAATTCATGTAAGCACCCACATCCAAACACTCAGACGGGTACCTAGCACACAGAGAAGACACACAAAGACTCACAGAATCACATACAAACCGTTACAAAAACACATGTTGTCTGACTATAGACACAGACGCACAAAACACACTTAGACAACAGACACAGGGACACACAGACCCCCCCCCCCTCACACACAGGTCGGTCCAGCTTACCTGATATTCGCCGCCTCCGCCGTGGTCGGCTCCGGTGGACAGAGCTCAGTACCGTCCACACACTGTTGGACCACCCGCTCTGTCCACTGACCCGGCTGGTGGACGCAGTGCAGCTCGTGCGGCTCCGTCGGCCTTTGTCCCGGTCTGGACCGCTGCAACTGCGCAGTATGTAATAACCCCGGGGCGGGGCGCCGCTGAGTCATGGTACCGGTTACGGCCGACCTCGGGCCGCTGGGCGACTGCAGCGCCCCTACCGGTCACCGGCGTCGTACTGTAACTAATGGCGAGCCGGGGCGTTCATGGAACACTGTTGATGTAAGTGCACAGTTGCCTCGTAAAGGCTAGTCAGCAACAACAACAAAATAAAATGGGAACTCTCTACATTCGTCAAGGACTTGGATGTCCGGGTTCCAATGGGCCTAGTCCCGTAGCGAGGAGACTCTAGCGTGTCCAGTGAGCCGGCGGCGCGGCGTTCCGGACTGATGACGTCAGCGGAAGGCCACCATGGTTTCATGATAACACGGGCCGGATGGCGGTGCAGCAGCCCTTCCCCCCACCTCGACCCTCCCCAGCCGTCTGGAACCCCCCATCCCTCCAGACACCGCGTGCAGCCCGGCAATGTAAACCATAGTGAGCAGCAGACATGTGCAGGGATGGAAGAGGCGAATCTATGATCTCAGTGGATATCTCAACAAAATGGAGAGTTCGGACCTACATCTCATCCCTCGCCCGGTCAGGGGTTGGGGAGGGGGAGATTGATTAAGCCTCGCCCGCACATGGGGGGGTGGTATCCACCCTCCACCCCCCCCCCAGGTAGTCTTTCTGCTCTGCACTCCACATTGTTAGAGCTAGAAGCCTGATTTTCCGTATAGCTGCTCCTCTATCCTCTCTTCATGTCCACTGACAATTTGAGGTTTCTGTGATTTTTGGTTTCGGAGATATGACCTTGTTTTTCAGGTCATGTCATGACCCAAATGACCAATTCTCAACAACTTGCGTTGGCTATAGGCCATGCGAGCTTTTGTCACCTTCCTTTCGGGCTTTTTTTGCCAGTCTTACCTCCCACCTATCATGGAACATGTTGTTCGACGATGTACAGATGTCAAGGTCAGGGTCAAGGTCAACCTAGTTCATCTAAAAAAATGCGTTTTAGGCAAGCTGAATTTACTTTTCGTGATTTTTCTTGACTGCATTTTTTGTAAAAGCTTCTCAGATCATGATTTCATGCAATATGGACACATAAACAATCGGTGCACACATCAGTATACACACAGACACACACAGACATACAAACTTATCATTGACTTTGACCTAACTGAGACCTGAAATGACCTCAGCAGCAAAAATCTGGTCGGGTAGTGTGACAAAGAGGTTCTAGCTGGCTTAGCACCAGAAAACGGCATCGTTATCGGTATATGATTTGAATTGCAGCGCACTTGATATCCAGCGGTGACCCAGGGGGGGGGCAGATTCTGCCCCCCCCCCTGTCTAACTTCCGAACCGATGGTCGTAGAAAGACGGGGAAAACGGCAATGGAAAGCTCTCAACAAGGCGGATCTTAGGAGGCCAAATTGTTTTGCTAAAGTAGGTCAGAGGTCAGGTCAAGGTCAGGTCAAGGGTACAAGATGCAAGTTTCTACAGTATCGGCCGTGCACCGTAGTTGCCTAAGAATGGACTGAGACTGATTGCCCAAAACGTGTTCTTAGACTACCAAGACAATATTCAGTGCATACAATGTCATTCAAAGGTCAAGGTCAAGGTCAGGTCAGGTCATGTCAGGTCACCAAAAACAAAATATAGAAAAGGGCATGTGCGACACATGTTTTATGGGTCATTTTACTCATAGAATTCAATAGGCACACTCAATAAGTGATATGGACCACCTCTGGATGAATTTCAGGTCGGGGTCAGGTCAAGGTCAGGTCAAGTGAGGTCAAATTTTGAAGTTGGTTGTTAGGGCCTCAAAAGGTGTCTATCTGATGCAGTTTTTCACGGCGAATCGAATGGTGCTATTTTTGTTTCCGTACGAGGTCTAGAACTTCCAAAAAAGTCATTTTTCAAAAATTTTGTGTGTCGTTACGTCATAAAATTTTGAATAACTTTCACATTTTTGAACCGATTCCTCTAAAATTTGGTATGTAGGTGCACATAGACCACTTCTTTGACATATATTCCGTTTTTTTCGATACACTCAAAATTTTGGATTTTATAAATATTTTCCCAAAAAGTCAGTTTTTTGAAAAAATTTGGGCCAAAATCTAAAATTTTCAAAAAATCGAGATAGCCATTTGATTGACAAAGTAGAATCACGTCTAACCTTTTTTTGTTACGTCTTGATTCCTTTAACCCGCGCACCGACGGGGGGGCGGATATCCGCCCCCCCCTGAGGTTTTTCGCGGATAGCGGGAAAACCGCGGCGCGTAGCGCCGCGAAATTTGGTATGACTATTCTCTCATCAATTTTACACATGGTGTGCAAGTTTGAACCTCCTAACTTTTAAGGTCAGGTCACCAGGTCACTTTGAATGACCCAACCTCAAGTCACTTTTTTGCAACTTTGTCACCGTGCCAGAGCTACAGTAGATGTCGGAGGCCTTTGAAAGTCGCAGGATGTTATTAGGTCATTAGTAGCTACAATTTGTATATCTCGGAATTTTGATGTCGGTGACCTAAGGTCAGGTCAATTTCGCGACCTCCCCATTATAAGTCAATGGGGGAAAAATCAACTCCCTGTTTTTACCACTAAAACGGGTCGGAATGGCCCCATATACCATACATGACTTCACATACGATCAACCTTCACTACCTTGAGGTCTGTTTTGCTGTTGAGCAGCTGTAAGGTCATGTGACGTCATCAAAGGTCACCAAAGGTTTTTTTTGCCAATAACTCCTTACAGGAACAAGATACAGCCGCGCGGATGGTCTCATTGTGTTCATCTCGTCAAGACGCATCGAATGATATACATGATGACCTCGAGGTCACGTGACCTGAGGTCAACCTTTGACCTTGACCTTTCGAGGTCAACATATATATCATTCGATGCGGATCGACGAGAGGATCACGATGATGCCCTTAGTTTGTTCCTATCTTGACTACTTCGAAAGTTATTCGAGAAAAACCCTCTCCATATCTAGCGCCGCCATTTTGACTTTTTCGACCCCTGTGACGTCATCTTTGACCTGACCTGAAAATGACCTTAGTAAAATTGTAGACCTTGTCCGTGCGTATCCGATGCCGTTTACCGCTTGTCGCTATCTTGCTTCGTTCTCGAGATCTCAGGGGGGGGCGGTCATCCGCCCCCCCCCCGTCGGTACTAAGTTGGCGCAGACCCCCGTCGGTGCGCGGGTTAAAAATGAAGATGTTAGTGGCGTTTGAAATTTTGCCATTTTTGAGGCAAAAATGGCGAACATGACGTCACTAAAACGTCAATTTCTCAAAAATTTTCCGACGGATTTCGCACAAATTTTCAGGGAACGTGTCAAATTGATGTATGATAAGGTACTTCGAGTTTGATGTTGCTGGCATAACGCGTTTAGAATTTATTGGCGAAAAACGGGAGGGGGCAGATTCTGCCCCCCCCCCCAGCGGGGCGCGGGTTAAACTCCGTTGCATTGTCCATCAAAAGTTCAGCCGGCGCTCCTCGCTCTAAAAAGATGTTTTCTAGTTGTCCGACGATCTGATGATGATGTGATGTGATGTGACTCCCTCCGCCCCTCATCGGGGCGTAGCCAGGCGGCTCTGGAAGTTGCGGGCGGCGGCCGCCAGGGCCGCCACCACTCTGGTCTCCCGGACCTCCTCCAAGTCCGGATGGATACTGCCGGTGAGTTGTAGGCGGGTCCTCATCAGAGCGGGACAGCGAAGGAGGATGTGGGCCGGCCGGTCCGCCTCCTCGCCGCAGATGGGGCAGCGCGCTCCATCGCACCGGTCGTCGTTGCATCCCTCACAGTCTCTGGTAGGGGAGCGACCGATCCGGTGTAGGTAGGCTCTTGAGCCTGCCCAGTGGCCCGCGCGGATCTGATGGACTTCTACCGCGCTCTCCCGTTCCAGGCCGGCCGTGGACGGGGGCCGGCGGTCGCCCATCAGAGACTTGAACCAGCCGGGGGGCCAGGACTGGATTGTCTTGTCCCTAGCCATTCTCGCCACGGTACTGGTGATCGTCCTCGTGTCGATGGGCGTCCTTTCTTGAGGGAGCTGGGCTGCTTCCCGGGCCACTCTGTCCGCCTCTTCATTGCCGTGTATGCCACAGTGAGAAGGGACCCACTGGGCCCTGATTTCTCGACCATCTTTGGCTAGCTGCAGTAGAGCTCTCCAGGCCGCCGTCCCCAGCGGTGACGTCTGGGCGGCGGGGCCATTCCGCAGGGTCGCCAGTGCCGACATGCTGTCGGAGCAGATGATCAGTGGTAGGTCGCTATCTTTGGTGCGTGATGTTAGGGTCTCCAGGCCCGTAACTAAGGCGAGCATTTCTGCACGGTAACTGGAGCAGAAGTCACCCGCCGGAGCTCTTAGCTCCAGTACCTCCTCATCCGGCCACATGGTGACTGCTCCAGCCCCTCCGTTCCTTGTGCCGCCCTCCGCGGACCCGTCCGACCACATCCACACCGCGCACTGTGGTAGGGATGCTAGGTGCTGGGCGGCAGTCCTCTCCTTCTCCTCCGCCGTCGCACCTGTCCTCAGCGGGCCGACGTCCAGTGTGAAGGAGATGCGCGCTCCCTGTTGCTCCCATGGTGGTACTCTCGGTGGGAGAATCGGCTCGATCGGTGCCGAGATCCCTGCATCGGCCCAGGCTTGGCGGCCCAGCGACCTCCATCCTCTGACCGAGGACAGGCGCGCCGGGGCCGCGGCCTCAGCTGTCGCTCGCAGGGGGTCGTTCGGAGGGAGCGCCAGCGCTCTCGTCAGTAGCCGAGCTGCGAGCGTCTGCTTCCTCTCCGTCATCGGGGCGAGCCTCGCCTCCGCCATCAGTGCGTGGCTCGGTGTAGATCTCGGGCACCCCGTCACGATCCGGGCCGCCGCTCGCAGTTCGCGTTCCAGGAGTTCTGCGTGAGAGGGGGCCGCCGCAGGTAGCCAGGCCGCGGCAGCGTGTTCCATGGCTCCTCTCACGTACCCACTGGCTATCGTTCTGAGAATGTCTTCGTCTAGTCCCC